CAATTCATATACTTAATAAATTTTGCATCTAATGCCCTTTTACGATTAAAAAAAAAAAAAAAAAAAAAAAAAAAAAAATTTGATATACTGTATGTAATCAAAAATTTAATATCAAAATAAAGTAAATAAAGTATAATAATAATATAAATAAATTTTTTCTGTTAATCTTTTTGCTAATTTAAAAACAAATATTTTTAATAAAGACTTTTTTATTTTTTGATAATAAAGTTTTTATATACTTTTTAATATCTTGTTTTTTAAAGATTAATACATTTTTTATTTATTTATTTTTTTTTATTAAAAAATCTTTATATATTTTAATAACAAAATAAAACAAAAATTCATTTATTTAATCACGATAAAAACACTTTATTAAAAAGAAAAAATATATTGAAAAAATATTTTATATTAAATTTTTCTTAAATCTAAAACTTTAAAAAATTAATCATTAATAAATATATTTTACAAGCTCTATAAAAACCTTGAATTTATTATAAAATATATCTTTAATTAAACAAATAAATAAATTAATAAATAAAATTTATTTACTTAAGTATATAAGTTTTTTTATTGATAATATATATTTATAATAAAATTTTTAAATATATAAATAAAATTTTTAATTTTTTTAAAAAATTTTATTTATTCTAATTTAATTTTAAAATTTTTATTATACTAAAAACTTTAGCTAGTAATTAACTAAAATTTAAAATTGATTGATTGATATCTAATAAAAATATAAATAAAAATATTTCTTATATATTTCATATTATATAATATTAAAATTAAAGTTTTAAATTAATATTAAAATCATAAGTTTATATAAATCTAAAATTAGTCAAGTTTAAGATTTGAATCAACTTTAAGATTTGAATCAACTTTTATAATTAAGTTTTTTTTAATATAGGTTGTATCAATTAAGTTAAACAGTTTAAATTAGTAATAGAATTTCTACACTTTATAGATTTAATACTAATATTATAAAAAAAATTATTTAAAATAATAGATCTTTAAATATTAATAATAAGATAATATATAAGAAATAATTTGTATAAAATATATAAATATTGGTTTATATAAGTTCTTGCTATATAAGAGAGACATATGTCATGTTATAAATATTGTATCTTATTTTGCAAGTAAAAATATAACAAATTTAACAAAACATAATAGCTATTTGCTCCTTTAAAAAAAAATTCTTATTATATTATAATTTTAATATAAGATATTTGTTAATAAATAAATTATAACAATTATATTTAATATTTTTAAAAAAGATATTTAAAGCTTTGAAATTTTTTTATTATTTTTTTATATTTTTTTTACTAATATTACATTTTTTTATATAATATTACTTATAAATTAAAATTAATATTGCTATGGTAAAATAAATTTATTTTTTAAAAAAATTTTTACTATTATTTGTATATCATATAAAAAGTAATATTTGTAATTTTAAAATATAGTTTAAGAGATAATTAAAAAAGGATTAACAAGTATAAGAAAAAAATCAAATTACAATTTTCTTTAAAATTAAAGTTTTATTTAATATTAAAATTCAAATATTAAGTAAGAAGAAATCAAAATTAATAAACTTATTAATATCAATATCAATATTTTTATAATAGAATAAAAAAAATTATGGAAAAAGAATATTTGAAAAGTATATAAAAAAATATAATTAAAAATTAAAAATAAATAAATATATATTAAATAAATTAGATAAAGAATAATTGTTATTGGTTTTTTTTTAATATACAATAATTCAAGAAAAACAAAATTTTCAAATTTGTCTTTTTAAATTAAAAATTTTATTCTAATTTAGCAATATATTTTTTTAAAATCGTTTATTTAATTATCATAATTTAATTAAATTAATTTTAATAATATAATAATATAAAAAATATGTGATATTAAAAAATAAGAAAAAAAAAGTTTTTATTTTTAAATATATTTTATTATTATTATTATATTATTAAAATTAATTTAATTAAATTATGATAATTAAATAAACCATTTTACAATTATTTTATCATATCAATCAATACAAACCAATTAAAAAAACAAAATTTTTAACAAATCTTTAAATTGATTAAATGAATTTGAAAATGAGATTTAAAAAAAAAACAAAAAATGATTTTATAAAATCCAAAAAAATAATTTTCATAACAATTAGTATACATATAAATTTATATAAAATTCAAAATTCAAAGATAACTTTATTAATTATGAAACTATATTAAAAAAAAAAATATTGGTGTTTTTTTTTTTCTATTAAATAAATAAATAGTTGTTTATTCATCATAAGAAATATTTGTCCAGACTTTTTTAGACAAAGTGTATGCTTCTGAAAAATCTCCCACGAGACCTTATTTTAATTTATTTGTAATATTTATTCAATCATAGGTAAATTCATTAAAGTTATTTAATAAAAATACTGATTTGCTGTAACAAATGATTTTTGTTCTTTTGATTTGATTGATTCTCAAAATTTAAATATAAAGGTAAGACATACGTCGTATCTTAAAATAATTACAAAATTTTCAAGAATAATGACATTTCTGTACATATCTTCCATTTAACATTTGTTTTCTGGCAAGCTAGCTCGAATAAAGAAGGTCAAATAGAGCCTGGGTTCGTGGTAGGTATGTTTAAATAAACCTTCGTTGATAGAAGGATTGAGATATATGCATTTTATTATTGTTGCCATGATTGATGTGGCTGTTTCCAAACTCCTGTTAAATAATTGACTAACTATCACAAACTTGTGAGATCCTTTTACTTAATTTTTGAAATTGATTTCTTTTTCAGTATTTCCCGTAGACAATACCTCAAAATTAATTTCCCTACTAACATAGACTGCCCCCGGGTGATTCTCATACTCTCTCTTCTGTTCTGGTATATATTTGTCAGCCTGACTAAACTCGTCATCAAGCATCTCCGAATCCTGCGTACGGTCCCACCAGTGATCAAACAGTTTCAACAAATTCCTCGCTTCTGGCCTCTCCGCAGGGTTTTCACTCCAACATCGTTTGGCAAGATCAATGTACGACTGTGGTGTCCCTTCAGCAAACTCGGGTCGTAAACCATTGCAAATTTCTAATGCGAGCTTTTCGCCGTGGGCACGATCTACAAAGGGAGGAATGCCCGTGGAAATTTCGGCCATTACTATACCTAAGCTGTAGATGTCAGCGCTTTTTGTGTATTGTTTTCCGAGAAGAACTTCCGGAGCTATATAGGGTAATACCCCGTAAAACTTTTTTGAATGGTTTGCATATTGTGATTTGTCACGTTGTTTTTCCTCATCCCTCGCTTTATCACTCGCCGGTCTCGACAATCCCAAGTGTGCAAGTTTTGCCACCATCGTGCCATCCTTGATCTGCCCTATAAGTATATTACCTGGGTGTAAATTCCGATGCGTATAACCGTTTTCGTGGATGGTCACCAGATTGCTGGAAATATTTCTTAACCAGTATAGTTTGTCAGACCAACTTATCTCGTAGAACATCTGGTCTAGTACGTGACGAATATCGCGGAGTGACGCAAGCTCGGTAACCATCGCGTAATCTTTTGTCTCAGGATCCTGAGTGATTCCAAAAAAACGCAGAAATCCGTGATCGTATTTTATATTATCGTTGGTGGCGGGGGGTGTTGAGATGCAACGGTGATGGGTGCGTAACTGCACAAAGGAAACGTTTAATCAATGGACTACTTTCACTGCTCACATGAACAAGCTTTTAACGCAAACCTCTTCGATAAAACTCTCCGACATTTCCTGAGATCCCTTGAGTCTTTTTATTGCCACCGGCAGCGATCTATTCTTGGACGGCCATGAGATACGTTTTTCTATATCACCCCATTCGGCCGAATACACCACACTGAAGCCACCCTCTCCAATCTTCTGAATATTGTTCAAGTTTTCGTAGGGAATCCATTCCAGGTAGGGATCCATCCAATCTCGGGTGCATCGTTGAGTTTCCTTTATGAACTTATTGATACCAGGGTGGTCACTGGTCCAACCTCTACTCAAACGGTGAGTATCGCATTTACACCATACTTCGTCGTTGCGAAAACGACGCCAGTGGAAGAAATAGTATTTGCACTTTTTCCGAGCTTCAAGAGCGTGTGGACGGGGGCGTTTGGTTTCCATCGAATGAATGGGCGATAAATTTACACTTATAGGTGTAAAGAAATATATTACTTGACACTATATACAATATTCCTGAAACTAACTTGCTATAATGTAACGCCAATTCAATACTTTTTAATACACAATCGTGTAAAAAACAAAAACCAAATCGCAATCTCGAAGTTAGGTCTTCTACAAAGGAACATCAAATTTTTGTCAGGAAAAAATTCCAAGTATATATATTTATATTGCAGGAAATTTCGTATCATGTAAATAGAAATGCATGCACCGTAGGACAACGCAGCTCGGGTGTATTCTAAATTAATTCAAAACATCATTAATTAATTACCAGATGTTGAAGATTTGAAATGATTCCGCCATTCATGACTTCACGGAAACCAAATGTCTCTTCGATTGTACGTGAATTATGGGTTCTTGTTTCACATGCAAACGCACAATGTACAGCACAACTACATCAGTATTCATACTGTACTCATTTTTCAATTATAGGCTTTAAATAACCTTAGACATTATCTTGCATTAACATCTAACATGATCTTCTAACGGATCTATTTGAATCCCTGTCGGTTACTCTTTAACTTGATGACGCACCAGATGTTCTTTGTATGTCATTTAGGGGGATTGATTACTGGCACCATAGAACGATCGTTTTTCGAGCGTTAATTCCCGAAAATACATAGCGACCAAGGTATCGTATATACTTTTCCTTTTACGGCGCACATGCATTATTTTCTCATCATCTCAATCTAACAGTGATCATAGAAAAAATCATTGTGGCTTTGACATACAAATTCTAGTAATTGGTTATCATTGAAAGGTGCGATACAATGATTCTATGTATTATTATTACATTATCATCCAAAGATTGAAATCAACATCTGTTCTTTGTAGTATTTCAAATTAGAGCAGAGGTAATTTTGCGAGCCCAAATCTCGAGCGTATAAGTGATCTCATGATGGATGCGCATGAACATCTTTATGCATTTCGTATCAAAATTACACTGTGCATACATCATAACACGGAATACATGAATGATCTGTTTGTGGTGGGTGGCGAGAGTAGAAGAAGCGTATGCTGAAATCAAAAAAGGAAAGAAGTCCCACAATATCCGCCAAAAATACAATCATCTTGGGTAGCATTCATTACAATCTTGATATACTAGCTTCAGGTGGCTTACTTGGCCATTATTTCTCTATTAGTAATGAATAGCATAAGGTTGTGACGTAGTGGGAATGAGTATAGTTAACAAAGAAAAGATATCGAAGCCACCTTTAGAAAGGCGTCACAATTCGAGCTATCACTCTTGTAAGGAATAACGTTACGTCCCGGAATGATCGACACAGATACAGTATTGTGGTGTAAATCAGGATTGCTTTTATAAAATTACTTTATAAACAAAACAAAACGAAATATATTACCCTTACATAAATAGATAATTCTATCGGATGTTGTATTCAATAATTAAATAAATATTGAATAAATATATCTCTATGTTGTAATCTTTTGACACTTATTTCAATAAAATATTGAGTTAAAATTAAAATGTTAAATGTTGGTTGGATACAAAAACAAAAACAAAAAATCTTTTTAAATAAGATGTACAAGTAGGATAAATCAAAATTATTTAATTCATGATTTGAAGATGGTTTTCTACAAGAGCTGTTTTGTTTATATTTGAAACTGAAAATTTTCCGGATATTTAATTAAATAATTTCAGATACACCCCGGTAAATCGAATTTACTTTTTGGTATAAAATGCCTTTTTTACAATTTGTTAATTCGAATATGCATCGTTGCATAACATCATAACATTCCGTACTTAAATGCCGACTCCTGAATTTAATAATGCATTTGTAAATAGACCAAATTCGGACGCAATATACATGTATATACTGTATATATACATACATTCGATTATTAGCTGTCATTTGCTTTAGCGAATTGGCACATGAAAAAAGGTAACTAGAATTAGTCTTGAAACGATTGGCGCCAAAGTATTTTATTCATTTCTTTTTCAAGCGATGTTCCGTCGTCTGAATCCGGATAGGTTAAGTTGATATGCATGCAATCAACTCTTTAAATTTCGATGTTTTACGTACATCTCGTCGGTGATTTTCTTTCTCCTACTCGTAAAAAAAGATATACCTTTGATTTTTCAAAAAAAAAAGAAGTGAAAATGATAAGAAAATTTTCACCGTATCGTTATTCACGCTTTCGTATACTACTTCTATTATTGATCACATTAATGTTTTCGACGATCGTGTTTTTCGCTGAAAGATTGACACGACGAAACCTATTTTTCGAAAAAAAATATATTGATCCACAAAAAGATTCAACCTTATTCTCAAATAATGTCACAAAAGTCAACGCTGCAATAATTGTTCTTGCTAGAAATCGTGAATTGGATAGCTTGTGCGAAACAATGAAAAATTTTGAGGAGAGATGGAACAAAAAGTACAATTATCCCTACATTTTTCTAAATGACGAAGAGTTTACACCGGAATTTAAGGCTTTAACAAAAGCCACTACGCGGTCCGAAGTTCATTATGGTAGACTTGGGATAATCATGTTGCGCTAATCTACTTGTAAAAAATTTAACACTGCCACAAACTTTTCCAAAACTCACTACCCGTAACGATAGGATTAATACCGAAAGACATGTGGGATTATCCTCCGTGGATAGATCAAACGAAGGCAGCCGAAGTCCGTGAGAAGATGATCGAGCAAAATGTAATATACGGTGGTTCTGAGTCTTACCGACACATGTGCCGGTTCAATTCCGGTTTTTTCTTTCGTCATGAGCTCGTACAGAAATATGATTATTATTGGCGAATAGAGCCCGGGGTGTCATTCATGTGTGACATTGATTACGATCCGTTTAGGTTCATCCAAAAAAACAATATTACATATGGATTTACCATTTCGCTATTGGAGGTTCAGTCGACAATACCGACGTTATGGGAAACCGTGGAAAGGTTTATCGACGAACATCCTCAGGATGTGAACGAAAATAATTTCTTGGATTTTTTAAAAATGAAATTAATAGGAGGTTACAACGGGTGACTATTTTTGCTATATTACGTATCGTGGATATTTCTCGACGCATTCGGCATTTTTTTTAAAGCTTTTTGTTGATTTAAAACACCCAGCTGTCATTTTTGGAGTAACTTTGAGATCGGTGATCTGAATTTCTGGAGAAGTAGAAAATATATAAAATTTTTTGAATACCTGGATCAGGCCGGAGGATTCTACTACGAACGGTACATACTGCTACACCTATATACTATATGTGTCTCTGAATATATTCACTCATTCATATCAACATTCTGTTGTTATTAAAAAAGGTGGGGCGATGCACCGGTTCACTCGATAGCGCTTGCTCTGTTCTTGGAAAAGTCAAAGGTACACTTTTTCAATGACATAGCATATCTGCATCCACCCTTTCAGCATTGTCCGGCTCAAAAAATGTTTCACGAATCTGGAAAATGCCAATGCAATCCTTCTGATAGTTTTGGCGGTAAGTTCATCTCGAATGAATAATTACATTGACTTGAATAATTAATGAATTATTATTTTTTATCGCAGATAATTCAATGTTTTCGTGCATCAATGAATGGTTTGGGCTTTAGCTACCACCCGTTATCAAAGATTATTACAAGATAGCAAAACCATAATTTAAAATATTTAGCATTAAAAAAAAAAAAAATCATCAATTAGCATTATTTACACTTGTTTATACTAAAACGTATTCGTGTTAATGTATTTAATTATCAAATCGTCAGATAGATCGATCGAAAAATTGGTTACTACAATAGGTGTATTAACCAAAGGCGTAAATGTTTTTTTACCTGACTTTTTATGGCAGGCGAATCGATTCCGATTAAAATCGATATGAGATTGTCTTAAACATCATATACTACTGTATACTGTATACAGTATGCGAAAATAGTGATTTGAAAGATGACTTGATGTTACCGGGAGGTCCCGGTTTTATCCTGTCTTACCTTTTGGAAATTGGACATTCTGACCTTTTACATCTGAAAAGCCACAAATTAATGTGGCAAGGTGCCATACCACAATACTACGATCGTTACCTATTTCAAATTTTATATTACAACTTTGTTTATATAAATTTTTTACCATTTCTATAATTCTATAATTTTATATGGTATATTAATATTGATTGAAATTTATTAATTGCATAAAATTAAACCTTTTGAATTTATTGAACATTTTGATGAATTTGAATTGTTTTATGAAAAATTCAAAGTTTTTATATTGGTTGCTTTAAAATCAATATCAAAATAATAATAATAATTATTATTATTATTATATAAATTATGTTATATAGTATATTGTATTGTATACTGGATATATGCAAAATAAATAAGTTATTTAAAATAAAATTTAAATAAAACAAATATTTTTTAATATTAAAATTATATAAAATCAATTTATTATAAAATAAATTCCTATTTAACAAATTTATTCATCTATCAAAAATGATTTTAATAAATTTAAATAAATAATTCTTTTTAAAAAAATTTTTTTATGTTAAAATTTAAGAATATTTTGATAATTTATTTATAAAAATTTATTAATTATATTATTCTTTATATTTTCAAATATATATATATACAGTAAAATTTGATATAATATAATCTTAGGACAATTAGTAAAAAATTTTGAAAATTCTACTATAGTGAGATTTTTTTAAAATTTATTATTAAATCTATTATATAAAAATTATTTATTATAACCATTTTTGAGTCTATTCCACTATATCAAGATTTATATATATTTTTTCTATATTAAATATCTGCTATATTGAATTTCATCATATATATATTTATAATATTGTATTTATTAATTATTAAATTATAATTTTCAAAAAAGATATTATAATGTAACAATTATTCAATTGATATTATAATAATTATTAAAAATTATAAAAAGTATATGATATTTATTTTCAAATAAAATAGCTTAATAATTATTTTTTGTAATACAGTGTGAGTCAAAATTATTGGAAAATCACTGCGGCGAGATCTGTATAAATTAAACTAACCAAACTCAGACAG